TAATCAAAATCTTTTCAGAGTTCTTCCTAAACAAATGTAAAGCACCAATAGCAAGCAAGCAAGCAATAGTCAACAAGCCAAGATTATTTATACGTGTCATGCAGTCGGAAAATCGATTTTCCGACTGTATCGCCGAATTCCTTCCGAAGTGATTTCAGCCACAAATATCACATGACAAAATCACATGTCCACCAGGCTTTAGCCAACCCCCCCCAATTGGGAATCAATATATTTTGAAATGCGCAGATTGACAAACGCTCATTTTTATTCTGAACATTTCTATACAAATTTTAAATTAATAAATACAACATTAGAATGAAGAATATGGCATATAATATGATGTAATAGGGAATATATCAAATAAATAAAGAAACCAAAAAGAACCATTAATAAAAAATTCTATCTAAGACTAGGTGCAGTGGGTTGACAATTAGGAATAGAAACACCTGGTTTCAAACTTCGATCCGGATAAAACAAACCCCAGCTGCCTTCCAACACAGTGAACATTTGTGTCTTCCACGGTGTATCAAACGACTCGAAGTAATAATACCGATACCCTTTACTATTCGCTTGACACAAGAAACTCTGTATAAATGTATTCAAGTTCGGAACTGTCGCGATTGCACCTTGATCCGGAGCTCCGTTGGTAGGCCAACCTACTTCAGATATGACCGCAGTCTTGTTTTGTTTAGCTGCCGGGGCAACATCATTCTCCTCGAAAAACTGGAATGTCCATGTTGCAGCGTTTGCGACGGCTACACCACCGAAATATGGGTGAACGTTTGCAAAAGCTATGTCGACTGCGGATACGAATGCTTGGTCGACGTTTGAACCGAGATCAGAGGTGAAGACTGGCATGTTTTTTGGTGCGCCGGGCATTGCGAGAACTTTTTTACGAACGTCGGCGATGCGAGAGTAAAAATCTGATACTGGGATCTCTTTACGAAATATAACTATATATAACGAGAATTGGTGAATTAGAATATATCTATCTAAATCACGTAAAAGAATGGTGATATCAAACATACCTTCATTTCCTACCGAGATACCTTCGATGTAATCAAATCCATGTTGTTTTAGATTATTAAACAAATCATTGTATTGTCGTTGATAAGTGGTCATATTATTATCAACCCAAATGGTAGGAACAACAGTCATTTTTAAACCCAAAATCTTAATCGCCATAATTGTATAATTTGCCGCGTTACAATCCATCCCATAAAGTCTTAATCGATTAGTCAACTGCGACAACAGCTTCACGTCTTCAATCACATCACCCAAAGTATTCCCGCACGACGGATACGTGGCATTCACGGGTCCATAATTTATACCGTAGAAAGATTTTTTGAGTTGGGGATTCGGGACGATTTTGAGATCAACCACTTTATTGTCCCATGTATAGAATGTTTGTGTTGTGGTTGGTGTGTTTGATGTGTTTGGTGTCGATCCACCATTTACCGAAGTATCTCCACTATTACCATTATCATTACCATTACCATTATCGTGATTAACGCCATCCGAATTAACATTTGCGGTTGAAGCATCCGGTGATCCCGATTTATTATGAAGGAATACGAATGAAACACCAATAATGATACCCACTAATACTAAAATACAAATGAAAATAATACCCCAGCGGGTTGTTCGTGCACCTCGTTGTGCTTTAAGCCATTCACTAGAATCTTTATCAACCATTTTGCTGTCGTGATAAAAAATGAATTAATTTGATTTACTTTTGCTGATAACGTTATTTATTGTTTTCGGCTTACCTCTACCTGAATTCACTTGTTGTTTTCAAAAGAAAAGTTATTATATATGCTATGTATTCGAACGGTATACTCAAAAAGCTTGCATTTAGCTCAAATACACACTTTTTATTATATTATTGTGTAAATTCTCCGAAATGAGAATTCTTTTTTTACAATATACACAGAATCTGATGGTCTAAATAAGGAGGGTGTTTTTTTAGATGTTCGTGAAAAGAAACTCGAGGAGTGATGGATGAGTTTAAAGGTGTAATGGGTTGTATTAAAAGAGAGAAAGAAAAAAACCGAGATTTGTTGAATGAAAAGGGTATAAAGCGAATAAAAGGAAAGTGTAATAAGGAATATAAAATTCTCTTAACACTATAAACGTAAAATAAAGGAAAGGGGATTTTGGAGGGGGGGGTAGTGATGGTGAACGTGCAGTAATAATATTAATGTTTGGTTTCTTTCTATATTTTATTCTATCTCGAAAAAACACTGTACTATCAAAATACGTGTTTTTTGTGTCCGAGTGTTAAAACCGACACTCAAAAAGTTAATATATAATATTCGGTGCATCAATGATGAGTTCTAATCGATTTAATTGGTTGTTTAAGTTTATTACTTTCCAAATTTAATATAGATGAATTAAAAAAAGACTACAACATCTAATCAGGGTAAAAAGCTATTCGTATATAACATACATACATGTTTGTTTTCAAATTGTTTCTTGGCTTTTTTTTTTGAATTGATTTACGTGTGACGAATTTCAAATAAAAAGCGTATTATTATTTATTGATTTTATAATTAATTATTTTGATTATTACAAGAGAAAGAAAAGAAATGAAAAAACTATAAGTTGTTTTTGTGATGCCTTATGTTACTACATTTATAATTGTCCGAAAGAGGAAGTGAATGCATTCTGTGTGTTTAATGTTTCTGTGAATATGTGAAACTTATATTCCACCCAAAAAGATATGCAATACACAAATAATACAAAAATGCGAATGGATGGATGGTTGGATGGTTGGATGGATTGATTAATCGAATAAGTGGTCGAGATATGGATTTTAGAATTTATGCTAATAAAAATATATACAATGAATATAGATATATATTATTGTACACTATATTTGTGGTAGATGATGATTTGAAACGTAAAATTAAATATTAGTGGTCGTAGTAGAAGAGGATGAGGAATTATTATTATTATTATTAATAATAGGGGAAGACGAAGAAACGGATAATGATAAAGATGTTTCTTTTTTGATATCTGTATGAATTTCCCTTAATACGTCTACTAATCCGTTAAATGCATCGACAAGTTGTTGCTTAAATTCTTCATTCTTACGTTGATATTCTTCCCATCTTTGTCGTTCTTCACGTTTTCGTTCTTGATCTTCTTGGTGTTGTCTTTCGAGCAGTTCGAATAATTTTTCTATATTAGTTTTTGATTTCTTATTTTTACGTTGTTGTTGGTTTATTATCCCACCAGTTCCATTACTATTATTGATTCCTATTGAGGATGTGGATGATGTTCCCTCATCTATCATCATTAGAGCTTCTGCTGCTGCACGTTTCAACGTTATACTTCCATTACTGGTACTATTTTGCGGGTGATGACTATTATGGTGATGATTATTACCGTTTATCCCATGTAACGAAGATTCAATGATAGGTGATGTAGACGAATCGAATGACAAAAATGAGGATTCAAATCCAATTGGTGGCATAGAAACAATGTTTGCAGCAGCAGATGACGATGATGAGGTTCTATTTAATGTAAATCGTTCTAGCGAGAATCGATCTGGTGGGATCATTGATGAAGATGTTGTTGTGGATTGATCATAATTAGTAATAGTTGAGGAGGAAGAGGAGGACGAGGAAGAGGAACCACGATCACCCAAGTAAATCCCTGCTTTCTCTTCATATGTATCTGTGAAACTATTAATCTCGCCTACTATAGCTTTTATCTCTTCATTATATTCAAATAACACCGGTGTCACTCCCGGTTGATTGTTGTGTCGTTTTGTTGCCTTATATCGACAAAATAATCGTTCCCATTGTTGCTAAATTTTTTTTAATTATTCACGTGATAAATCACATGAAATTTAAAGAAATTATCATTTCTTTATTTACTAGTATATCAATTGAATTTAAAAATTCGATAATAATGAAAAAATACCTGACAAGATCGTTTGCTTCTCTCTGGATAATGACGATTATGTTCTTCGACAACTCGATCCCATAGCTCGCCTTTTTGATTGTTCGTACATGCAGATTGTATGTTATGATAATAGCGGTGCATTGTGTTCAAAAAATATTTCGTCTCTGTATGACTCCATACTCGACGAGCAGCAGATTTTTTCGGTGTTTCCATCGGTAATCCATCCGATTCAATAACTAAACCTGGTAAGGATATCGTCGTCGTTGTCGATGTTGTAGTATTTGAAATATTTTGTTGTTGAAAATGATGATTGTGAATTTTTGAATGTGATTGATGATCATCATCTTGTATATTTTGCTCCGATAATTGCTGTTGTTCCGAAGAGTTTTGTTCTTCCTGAAATTGTTGTTGTGGTTCAGAATCTTGCATTTGTTGCTCATCTTGATGTTCCTGTTGCTGCTCTTGTAACTGTTGCTGCTGTTGTTCTTGCAGAGCTCGCTGTTGTTCTTGATAATGTTGTTGTTCATTATGTAATTGTTCTTGTTGTTGAGAATGTTGATTTTGATAATGAATTTGTTGAGGACACATGCGTAAATTTGGTGGTGCATCTAATGACATTGGTGTATCCTGACCAAGTAATGGCATCAGCGGACTTCTCGATAATTTTTCTTCTTTTATTTGTCGAGGCGCCAGTAAGGAGACACTGCCACTGGCACACGGAAAATCATACGGTGACAAGTCATCGAATCCCATTCCGTTTAAAGAATGGGGAGCTGGCGGTTGTGGCGGCGTTGGCCTCGACAAATAACGTGCACCACTAGGATACATATATTCGTATATTGGCGGCGGAGGCTGTGAAGAAATAGCAGCAGCGACAGACGTCGAGTTATCCCATTGTGGAAGTGGTGGTTGTGGTTGTTGTCTTTGATTCGACATTCTCATTTCTCTCTAGTTCTCGTTTTTTCCTTTTTTGTCCTTTTCACTTTTATCCAGTAAACTCTTTGGTAACTTCTTGGTAACTTCTTTCTCTTGCAAAAAGACGCGTATTTTTTTTTTTGCAAACTTTGTTATCTTCTGGTCTGTGTGTATACGTCTTACCACGTGTATTGAGTGAGAAAACGTTTTTAGACACGTTCTTTCTTTCCTGTTTTGACTGTGCCAAAGACCCTTGATCATCATCACCTCGTAATGAAATGTGGGGTTGTGTATTATCCATGTTAAAGTATATCTATTACATTGCAACATTTGCAACGGTAACAATTGAAACATCTGCGAAGAAAACGTTATAGAAAGCCAATTTAGTGATTATTAATATTTTTGCTTTCAATCAATAGAATAAAATACTAAACTACCATTATCCATTATTAGTAAAGTTCCCACGGGCAAATAAATGAATAATATGAATGATTTAGAACCGAGAAATATTGTTTTAGTGAATGCTATTTATTTAATTATTCTTTTCGAACAAATTAAGTTTATAAAGATACAAGTTTATTCTCGACCAAAAATAACGAGAATATATGAATATTTAAAAATCGAATAATAAATAACCAAGAATGGAATAAAATATATTTTTTATTCTTTCCAAATATTTTTTGTCTGTCTATTCAACAACACACCCCAAAATTATATTTTAAAATTCATCTCGTTTATATACTTCACGACTTTTTATAAAAGCTGTGCGTCGGCTTACCATTGTCGACTACTTGTTTGAGTAGGCGAGCGGCTTCCTTAAAATTATACCCTTTCCAGTATATCAATTTGTTATTTCTTATTTGGCGTGTCCATCAAAACATTCCCAAGCGGTTTTGAAATCGTGTGCTTTATCAAAAGGGTTGATTGTAACTTCTGTTACATTGAAATTAATCGTCTGAATTGATCTCGATATCTACGAATTACCTAAATCTTTGACGCAGAGACAATCCGGTCAAGTCTTGTTTATTTTATAACATATCTTGGAGGATGTGAATCCCAGACTTCAATAGAAAGTTGAGGAATTTAACATCATTAAGAATAAAAAATATAACCTTCTCTACTCGATTTCGCATTCTCGCAGAAATTTATTGTTTCTCGATTTCCTTTCTCGACGGGTTTTTTAATTCTTTGGTAGTCATATCTTCATCCAATTTTTAATAGAATAAGTCAAAATAAAAAAGAAACTAACTTAAAGATACCAGCTTTGTATATGCTTAAAACGATTTATTGGGAATATCTCTGGTGCTAGCCAATGAACAATCTCGATATCTATAGTTGGACCTTTTATTTGTAATTAAATTAATTTTTGCCTCGTAGCGATCTGTTTGATTGATTATTATTATTATAATGATTAATCATTCAATTAGGATAAGAACTTTTATTAGGCTCAAATTAACACTAACCACAACCCATGCAAGAAAATAATTCCACTAATAGAAATTTATATTTTCATCAGCCAATTAATATCATCTTTCACATAGAGACCTCGATAATCTTCCAAATCATCATCCTTTTTCGTTTAGCATTTAACGGGTTTTATTGCGACATCTCAGATGAGAGACGATTTTTTGACTTTTGATTTTAGTAAGGAGGATCCTTCGAAAATCAGATTGATTTGTTTATTTAGCCAAGAACTAAATCATACCATTTTCATCCCTGTTAAATCTTCTAGCGCTTTTCGTCATCGCAAATATCCAAGAGAATCTGATCAAATTCTGCAATAAGACCGTTAAGCTTATCCTTTACCGAATTAGTCTATGTAAGCTTACGAGACTCTTAAAACTGCGACACATCTTGAATGAACCTCTTGATTTTCTTAAAATTACAGAAACAGATTAAAATATTTGTAATAAGTTTGATTTCGAAATTTTTCTCTTTCTCCTTTTGCCGGTATTGTAATGTTCTTGCACAACTTCTACATGATCCATCAATGTAATACACACTGTGCCGCTTCGCATTCTTTGATAATTTCGTCA